AACCAATGTAAGCCTATTTTTGGTGGGTTTGAGCTCCACCAAAATTGTGCAATGGCACTAGCCAAGGCATCACATATCTCCAAGGGGAGAAGGAAGCAAGACATAACATATGTTGGTAGAACTAGCAGGATTGACTTTATCATTACTTCCTTACCACCTTTTGATAACCATCTGCCCGTTCATCCATTCACTCTATTCCTTAGCTTGTCTTTTAAAAAGGCAAAAAGCTTTCATTTGGAGCCACTAATATCCTCTGGTATCCCTAGATAGGTACTCATCCCTGCTTCACTTTGAATACCAAGTGTATCTTTAATCTCTTGCCTGACCTCTTGTCCGATTCTCTTACCAAAGAGTAGAGATGACTTGTCAAAATTGATACATTGTCTACAAGTTTGTCCATATTTCCTGACCACTTTCATTACTTTTTCACATTCATGGGGCTCCGCCTTACAATTTTAGTTTTAGTATTGGATAAGTTACGTTTAAATATGCTGGTTTTGGTTCAATTTCATTTTTGTATTTTTATACTAGTAGTCGATCTGAATATATTTCTTTTATGTTTTATATTAAAGAACTATTTTATTAAATGTAATCGTTAAAATGATAATCTAATAATCGTTGTAGTTATTTATTTGTAGCAAGCTTAAATCACTTGATAAAACGGTTAAAAATGAAAATCATCTTTTTGAATTGTATTTGATATCTTGTAGTTGTGATATATCGTTTAATTAAGTGTCATTATTTAGTGGAAATAATTTAAACGGTGTGACTTAACAGGTTATAGTTTTGTAGGCATTGTTGTTTTGATTTTTGAGTTGTTTTGTCAAAGATTGTGATGATCGCAAGAAGTTACGCATTGGTTAATCCAGGGGATAATATCTCCTAGAATTTTGTTAAGGAAGTCTTCGATGTTAGAGAATGGATGATGTACATTTACTTTGAAAGATAGATTTCGGAAGAGATTTTTGGATTATAGTAGATGTCACTAACCTTATATATATATATGTAAATGGTACAAAACGTTTATTTTGATATGTATGAGTTAATGAAAAGATTTATTGAGAATTGTACTTTAGTGTTAACATTGTATTCTAGCGTAAATGGATTTTAGTTAATGTATCAAACATTTACTACTAAAAAGGGAGCAAACTATTGTTATATTAAACTTGAACATATTGTTGTTTGTGTTTATTTTTTATTTTCTATTACTGTGATGATTTGTCTTGGAGAAAATCAAACAGACTATTATCGTAGATCTCTGATTTATATGATTGATTTTTTATTTATGTATATTATAAATATATTAATATATTAACATAATCAAATTATTATTATGTTTTATTTTTTAAAATATGATATATTTTTAATTTATGATGTAACTTAATGTACTTTTCAATTTCTCAATGCATATAAATCTGAAAAGATTATTAATAACATTTTATTTTTATTTTTTTAAACTACATATTTAAATATCAAAATTATTAAAATTAGATTTTAAATGAGGTGATATATATGAAGACAATATGATATTGATTAATGAGTTTATCTATCTTCCATAATTTTAAAATTCAAAATATAAATATATCAGTATAACTAAATTAATTAAACTTTTTTGAACACAAACTGATTTTTTAATTTTGTTATTTAATAAAGATGAATTTTCTTATTTAATAACAAATTAAATAACAAAACTGATTTTTTTTAACACAAAATGATTTGTTAATTTTTTCATATAATAATAAATCAATTTTGTTATTTAATAAAAAATGTGTATGAAAATGTATTTATTATAAAGAAACATACAACCGACGATTCAAGGGACATAATCTTGAGAAGAAGCTCATTTTCGGCAGACAGATACACAGTTGCGGTAAATATGAGACCATAAACCAATCTAAAAACACTTTACCAAGTATCACTAACCCGTAAGTATGTTCACAGATTTCTCATTTATCTTCAACCGAGACCACCGTCTTTGATAGCAGATCTAGAGCCGAGACTTCCATCGTTGATTCCATCGGAGATACAATCGGTAAAAGATAAATGTACGGCGACGAATCGAGCGTTAACTGATGAAGTGAATATGAGAAATCAGAAAAAACCGTTAGAGATCGTAGAAAACAAGGAAAGATGAACCTTAGACATCGAAGCTTTCATCTATTATGAAGAAAATGCTGAAGGTGAGAAAACTACTTTTTGCTTAATTTTATTGGACTATTATTATTTAATTAAAGTACATATCATTTGTAAAAACTAACAAAATCCAAATTAAAAAAAATCTTATAATTTAACTTAAAAAATATTCAACAAATGAAAGAATAATAAATGTCATTTTTGTCCTTATGGAGAGAAAAAACTCTACTTTATTATATAAGATACTAATGGTGTTCCCGGGCTACGTCCAGATTTTCTTATATAAATTTTAATTTAATTTATTATATTAATTTTGAATACATATAATATATATATATATATATATATATATATCTTTTTAAAAAATATAATTCATAAAATGAAGTTTAAATTATTAAATTAGAAACAAACTAATATTGACAGTAGATGTTATATGTTTCTGTTTTAATTATGCTAAGATTTTAAATAAATTTACATGATATTTGATCAAAAACTGTAATATCTAGATGGGATGGTTTGGTTATTGTTTGATGAACTACTTTTTTGACAAACTGATGTATTTAATAATGTCTTTGTATAGGTAATTATTTTATTCTTCAAACTTCTAACAATGTCTATTATAGTATTTTTTTAATAAAATTTTGTTTTTGATGGTGAAGCGGGTAATATTTTTCTGCAAGTTACTGAACAAAAAAATATAAAATATCATACCTGATAATTCAAATTTATATAACTTCATACTCCCTCTGTTTCTAAAAGATCTATATTCCAGTTTATTCACACTTTTTAAAAACACACAATAAATTTGCATAGTTTTTTGTATTTATTTTTTTCCATAATTTTAAACCGATAAAAAAATCAATTAGTGCAATTAAGTTTTTTGAAGTTTGCAATTAGTTAATAAAACATGCATTGAAAATATAAAAAATGGATCTTTTAGAAACAAATTTTTTTTCTAGGATTATCTTTAAGAAACAGAGAGAGTATTTATTAGTTTTGTTTAAAATTTTAAAACTTTTTTGAAAAAAAATTGTATATTTATTTTTGCCAACAATCGTATATAAAAGTAGTGTATACTAAATTTTGTAATATAATCATTCATAACTACAATAATGCTACTACACTGAGTCTATAATACTTTATAGTTTTAAACAGAATTATATACTTAACTTTTTGTAAGCTTAAATGCATTACAGATGCTTGCATGATATTTTGATAATTAATACAATTTTGATTCTTGAATAATTATAGTAAACATGTGATAACATTTAGTGAGGGTTATTGTTTCCACTATTTTAATGGATTTAGAAAAACATTTGGATTTAGAAATCTTTGATAAATCATATGATTTAAAATCGAGCAAATAGATTTAAGAATCAAAGATATTGATTTCAAAATGAAAATAGCTTTTTACGAAAATCAAGGATATCCAAATATTAATAAATCATATGATTTTAAAATCGAGCAAATAGATTTAAGAATCAAAGATATAAATTTCAAAATGATTTTAATTGTCTTCTCGTTTCCTTTTTACTTTTGGTTTTAGAATTGTTGTGTAATTCTGTTTTTCCTCGTTTTAGTTTGACTCTTGTTAGAGCTTTTTCTTTTCTTTCTTTTAAACTCTCATATTACGGAAATCTTTTGGAAATCAAGGATACTGATTTCAAAATGAAAATATATTTAAGAATCAAGGATATTGATTTTAAAATCGAGTAAACAGATTTAAGAATCAAGGATATTTATTTAGACATTTTATATTTAGAGATATGAAAGTTGTCTTCCATCTTGAAGAATGGTTGAAAATGAGAAAGTTTTTTTTTTAATTTACTGGAATAAAAATATTTATTAAAATCATATCATTTGTAAAAAGCAATAAAAATTCAAATAAAACAAAAGATTTTTATAATTGGACCTAAAACACTTTCGGCAAATGATAGAATGACAAATATCATCTTTTACCTCTACGGAGAGAAAAAAACTCTACTTTATTATATAAGAGATATATAAATATTTATTTTAGAAATTTTTTTGAAATATTTTATAACCAATAAATCATATATCATCATTACAATATAAATGCATATATAACATTAATAAAAAATAAACTAAATATAAGTACATTGTAAAAAAAATCACATTAACTTATATATCATTTGTTCATAAATAAAATATATATGAAAATTATTTGTAAATTTTTGTTAAAATAGAAAACTAAGAAAATAATAATGAAATATAAAATTTGTTTTAATTAATGTTTACATAGTTATTAGCATTTATTGGTTTATTAAGTAAATTAAATTTTGTTAAATATAATAAATATAAAAACATCATTAAAAAAAGGTGACATATGACATTTTTCCCCCCAAGGAGTGAAAAAAACCAACTTTATTATATAAGATTTTTTGGCAAACTAAAATGAGACTTTTTCCTACTGCTGTCACAATTAGATTTTTCACTCCGGACCTAGATGACGTTTCAGATCTTCCTACATTTCATGTTCCTTGATGCTATCACCATCTTTTTTTCTTTTCTCCATCTTCAGATGTTCCAAAACACATTGTACATACAACTAAACAAGAAAGAAGCTTGTGTTAATAAGCATTGTTCGGATGGTGACGTTTGACATCAAAATTACCATCTTCTAATGTGAAATTCTGTAAATTAACCAACTCTTTTTTTTGTCTCGCTAATTAACTTTGCACACAATCATCAATATAACACTAACAGTAAAAAACTTAAACTGGCTTACAAGAGGAGGTTAACCAAGGCCTCGGTTTGATGAACACAAACTCAATCCAAGACCTTGATTTGATGAAAATTAAAGCACAGTTCCGTGGAAAGATACAGAATCTGCTAATTATCTAAAACTAGAAGCAAGAGACTGAAGAAACAGAGAGAGGATAAGAGAAGCTGTTAGCATACTGAAAGGAGAGTGTCTGTCCAGGTGCAAGAGGTTGACCGTCATTGACAAGACAATCATCGTAGGAGAGTCTCCTGAAAACTCTAGGGTTAACCAGTCTGACCGAGCTGAACCAGCCACAATTGACGTGGATCTCCGCAACGCTGCAATCAGAGGCACATGCGTTTAAGATCTCAACTGTAAATGCAGGTACTCCATTTGGAAGTGGAACCGTTGAGCCTTGAAAGACAACAATGTCATCGTTTGAGCAGTCTTGTCCGATCCTTTTGGTCCCGTCGCCAATATCTGAAAAATGTTTCCGAAGATGTGTCTTTAGGGCTACCAAAAATAAAAGAAAAACACAGATATCTTTTTTGAAGCCAACAGAGTCTATAACAATGCCTCTTTAGGGTTTTTATCACATAGAACAGAGAGACTGATCTTTTAAATGATATGTGAAGCCAACAGTGTGTACGATGGGTTATGGATATGTTATGAACATGTGCATTCAGGGTTCCCAAGACAAGAGACTAATCATCGTATATATAAAGCCAACAATGCTTATGCTTAGTTAGTTAGTTAATGGACATGATATGGAAATGTGTCTTTGGGGTTTCTACAACATAAAACAGAGACACGTCTTATATGTGAAGGTAGAAGCCAACACCTATGATGAATCCTTATGATTGTAAGGAAACGCAAATAAATTGTCTAAATATTTACACCCAAATTTTTTTTTTGTCTAAATATATCTCCTAATCGTTTTGTAAAACATAGAAATAGAGACTGAACTTAAAGTTTATGCGTTACCGGAAGATTGCAGAAGCTTTCTAGAGAGGCTGGTGAGGTCTTTGTAATTGGAAATTAAGCTTCTTGCATTGAGAGAAATGACTACTGTATCACCGGAACCTTCCAAGGCATTGCACTTCACAGCAGCTGCAAGAGTGAAAAAAAATTCAAACATGGAATTGGTGTATAGTGACAAGGAGAAGAAGAGAGAGTGATATAAAGCTTGACATACATGAAGCAAGAAGAGACAGCAATAATCCAAGACCTAGGAAGAGGACAAGCCGCCGTTGGAATTGGTAGAAGTGCTCCATTTTCTTGCAATGGCCAAAAGATGTGGAGGCTTCTTCTCTGTTTTATAGAGGTATGATATTCATGCATGGTGGGGAGAGAAAGAAACTTAAGACAGGAAACTTTGTGATTGCATGCATGTCTGCTGGTTCCAGAAGGTACTGACCAATCCCTTGTTTCGTCTCAAAATCTATCTACCTCGAGATTCAGAAAAACATAAGTATTACCAATCTTTGTTAAAAAAAGTTTGAAAAAAAGCTGACAGAAGTTGGTTGAGTCATTAACTATACAAAAGGTAGTGAATTATATTTAACATTTTGATAGAGCTAAGAGCACATGCAACGGTTAAAATAATCAGTCCTTAGAGCATCTCCAAAAAGACACTTTATTTTAGAGTTTGTAAAACTCTATATTTGAAGTTTGTAAGTGTTATGCTCCAAAAACAAAACTTCAAATTTAACTTTAAAACTATTTTTATTTTATACTATGGTCCTTATATTTGTCATAATTAGTTTAAATTCATAGAAATTTTATAAATAACTAGCACATATATAAAAATATTACAGCAATATTAAATGGTAAAATATTACACTAAAATATGAATTATTAATAGAAATATATAATTAAATGTTAAACTATAAATAAAATATCAACTTAAGTTTTGCAATATTGTTGTTTTCTAGTTCTAATTTTAACTGTTTTTAATCTTATCTTGTTGTTTTGTGAAAACAATAAGTGTAAAATTTAAATTTATAAAAAAAAACTTGAAATATTAACGAGATATGAATTTTCAAGGGTTAAAATGATAAAAACATAAAATATATAAGACTTATAAATATAATGTATAATTGAAAGGATCAAAATGCAAACAAAAATATGAAACTTCAAATTTGAAGTTTTGAGTAGTGGCACTCTATATTTGAAGTTTCACTACTCAAAACTTCAAATTTGAAGTTTTAGAGTTCCTTTTTGGAGAACCAAAAACTTCATATTTGAAGTTATAGAGTATCTTTTGGAGATGCTCTTAGCCTCAAAACCAAGGCAATTAGGATTAAAAGAACATGTTTAACTGCTGATTTATGAAGGACCGTAACGTAGTTAAGAGCACATGCAACGGTTAAAATAATCAGTCCTTAGCCTCAAAACCAAGGCAATTAGGATTAAAAGAAAATGTTTAATGGCTGATTTATGAAGGACCGTAACGTAGTTAAGGGGTTCAAAGGACTCAATCCTTAGGGCACGTGGCTGAGCGTGGTAGGTTGCAGCTCGAGTTGTGTTTCTGGTGTTGGAAAAAAATAATACATTTTCTTTCTTTCGCGAAAAAAATCTCTCTCTCGTGAGTCGGTGATATCATCGGTGATTTTGTGCTCTCCGATAATCAAGATAAATCAGAGCCTCTCGTCAAAATTTTAGGGTTCGTTATGTGTTATGATTCGATTTGGGGAAGTGTCCCTTTGAAGCTAGGGTTTGGAAATCCTATTATTTTCAATCGAGTTGGGGATTTCGAATTCAAACGTTTAGGGTTTCAAAACGATGTTGGTTTCCATCTATTTGGGGGTTATTTTGATTAGGGTTTCGAAAAGCTTTATGTTTCAATAGATTTTGGGATTTTGGTATCAATCGATTAGGGTTTCAATTTGGGAATTTTTGGTTTTCATCAATTTGGGGATTTTTTTATATTTTGATTAGGGTTTCGAAAAGCTTTATTTTTCAATTGATTTCTGGATTTCGGTTTGCAATCAGTTTGAACTTTAATCAATTTGGGGATTTTGGTCTTTCATCTATTTAGGGATTTTATTTGATAAGGATTTCAGAAAGCGTTGTGTTCTCTTGATCTTGTTACTCTGATTTTCCTTCTTCTCTTGATTATGATTTTATCTTCTTCTTCTTCTATAACATTATGATTGATTTTATCTTCTTCTATAACATTAACGTTTGATTATATCTTCTTGTCTTAGGTTAACCAAACATGGGACAAGACTACAGCTACAGCCAGCCGTCTTCATCAGATTTTAGTTTAACCTGGCTCATTCAAGAAGAAGTTGACTTGTACGCGGCAGAATCTGAGTTGTACGCCGGTGAAGTTCAGTTGTACGCGGATGAAGCTGAGAGTAGCTTGAACATTGAAGTTCCGTTACTGGAGGAGATGAGTTGCTTTGATACACAACTTAGGGAGCTTAAGGACCAATGTAACGACAGTGAGCAGAAGCTACTAAAGCTAGAGAAGACATTGTCTGAGATATCTATGAAGAAATCCGGCTTTGAGTTGCTTGTTTGTCTACTGGGTTGTGTAGTAGTCTTAATATGTCTGCTGGTCATGTTTCTACCGAGTCAGTTTCTATCTTTCTGCTTTTGAATGTTTTCTCTCCACTTTTAAAGAAATGCTAACTGTTTTTAATACTGCTAATGTGTGTTCAGGAACAGCTTTGAAGGCTTGAGACGGGAGTGTTAGACCTCACCACTGTATTTAAAGGTACCATACAAACAACTTCGTAGCCTCTCTTCTTTTTTAGCAACTGTGTGAAAAAATTATGTGAAGTAGTTTTAAAAGTTATACAAAAGTTGTACAAAAGTTATAAGAAAATTAAAAGTTATACAATAATTATGTGAAGTAGTTTTAAAAGTTATACAAATTGATTAACTATATATAACTTAAACTCGGCAGTAACTAAAAATAAAACTGAAAATGTAATAAAATTAAAAGTCATTTACTTTAACTGCTTTCTACCTTCCTAAACCCTCTGATTTGAATTGCTTTAAATGTTTCTTATCAATAAATCGTTTATTAAAGCTCTGTGTTAGTAGTAGAGTGACACAGAGCATTCTGTAAACATGGATACCACCCCCGGTTTTGTTAATCTTCTCAATAGCCAATCTCCAATCGACCTTGACTCACCGGACCATGTTTGGTTGAGTAGCCAATCTCCAGCTGATTCTTCGTCTACTGTCAAGGAGAGGAGGAAGTGGTCTTCCAGAGAGGAAGAGAGTCTTAAACTAAAACTTATGTCAGAGTTGTTATAGAGTAATATGTTGAATTGAAGGTATTAATATTGTTTAGAGTACACATTGCTATTATAATTTGCTAACTCTTGTGTTATTTATTGTTACAGGTGCATTTTGGAGTTGTCAAACTGTTTTCCCAGGTTTAGGTGGATTAGGAGAAGTCACGGGTTCTTGTGTGCATGTGGAGAAGTCACGGGAGCATGTGGAGAAGTCACGGGTCTCTCTGGCATGTGAACAAGTCACGGGTCTCTCTATTTATGTATTTCTATAAATTGGCGTGAAGCCTTTGTTTAGGTAGCATATCTCCTTTGCTTTGTTTCCTCTCCCTTTCAAATTGTAATCTCTTTCAGTTTCTTGTATTTGTCGGATTATTGACAAAACTCCTGCACTTTGTACTACTGGATCTTGCATTTATTAATCAGTTCCTATTCTCTAACAATATCACAGGTAACCTTGTATTTAATCTTGCTTTGCTTTGTTGAAACCTTTGAAGCTTTGTTTAGGTTATCTAGAATGGTTGTCTTGTTTAGGTTGTATGATCAATCGGATTAGGTTGCTAGAATGGTTGTCTTGTTTAGGTTATGGTTATCTAGAATGGTTGTCTCGTTTTGGTTATGTAGAATGGTTGTCTTGTTCGTCTGATGACTTAATGATAAACTAGAATGTCTTGTTTTGGTTATCTAGAATGGTTGTCTTCTTGATAATTATTAGTCCATTGGCTAACAAATTGTCAAATTTAGTAAAAGTTCTTTCTACATTTGAAAGTAGTAAATGTGTACCAAGAAATAAAACTCGTAAAACCTACAAGCGAACAAGATTTTGATAGGAATATTTATGTTAATATAGGTTGTTTTCACAATTGGATGTAGGTTGTTTTCACAATATCAAACCGTAGAAGCACATTCATGTTAATATGATCATAAAAATTTGGTTATATTGTTTTTGGTTAACAACTTTAATATAAAATTTGGTTATCTAAAATTATATAAATTGGTTATTGGTCATTAAATAATATTATTGGTTATCTAAATTTGTAATAATTTTTAAAAATATAGAAATTGGTTATCTAAAATTTGTAAAATATTTAGAAATTGTAAAAATTGGTTATTTGTCATCAAATAATATTATTGGTTATCTAAATTTTGTAATAATTTTTTCAATGAAGGATTAGCAAGTGAATACACAAAATGTCATCATCTTCTTCTAATGAACTCGAACCAAGGTTGGACGACATTGTCGACGATATCTTAGATGAAACGTACGACAACATAGTGGAGTCTTGCCATGATAAACAAAGGAAATGTGCTTATATAGAACGCGACCGCGAATATGGACACAACCGTTTATGGAATGACTACTTCAGCGAAGATTCGACATTTCCGGCCCAGTTGTTCAGACGCCGTTTCTGTATGAACAAAGAATTATTCATGCGTATTGTCCACGCCCTCTCAGAGAACATTCCATTCTTTCAATAAAGAAGAGATGCAACTGGGAGATTTGGTCTTTCTGCACTACAAAAATGTATGGCAGCAATTTGTCTACTTGCTTATGGTTCTGCGGCTGACACGGTGGACGAGTATCTCCGACTTGGTGAGAGCACATCAATTTTGTGTTTACATAATTTCACTCGAGGAATAATACAGTTATTTGGAGATGAGTATCTACGAATACCCACAGGAGAGGATCTTCAACGCCTACTCGATATTGGAGAGATACGCGGATTTCCTGGGATGATAGGAAGTATCGACTGTATGCATTGGGAGTGGAAAAATTGCCCAACCGCTTGGAAAGGACAGTACACACGTGGATCAGGAAAGCCGACAATTTTCTTGGAGGCTGTAGCTTCGCAAGATCTTTGGATATGGCACGCTTTTTTGGTCCTCCAGATACCTTAAAAGATATTAATGTCTTGATCGGTCACCTGTTTATGATGACATTTTACAAGGTCGAGCTCCAAGGGTACAATACGTGGTCAACGGACACCAGTATGATTTGGCGTACTACCTCACAGATAGCATATATCCAAAATGGTCAACATTTATCCAATCTATATCACTCCCTAAAGGTCCTAAAGTATAGTTATTTGCTAAAGTTCAAGAAGCAACTAGAAAAGATGTGGAGCGAGCTTTTGGCGTATTGCAAGCTCGCTTTGCGATTGTGAAAAACCCCGCTCTTCAAGTGGACAAGGAAAAGATAGGGAAGATCATGAGAGCATGTATCATACTGCACAATATGATAGTCAAAAATGAACGAGATGGATACACTCAGTACGATATATCTGAATTTGAAGAAAGGGACGTAAGCAGAAGTTCTCAGGTGGACATGTCCTATAGTACCGACACACATTCAAATGTCGATAATATGATTGGCATTCGGATTCATGTGCACGATAGGCGTATACATGAACAATTAAAAGCTGATTTAATTGTAAATATTTGGAACAAATTTGATGATGAATATTAGTAAGTTGTATTTTTGTATTTAATCATTTTTTAAATAATTATTGTCTTTTTATATTTAATCATATTTTAAATAATCATTGTAATTTATATTTGATAATACAATAAATAAATTTAGTTTTTTAATATTTTATTATTATTTTATTCCTAAGGATTTCTAATTGGATAACACCATTGAACTAAAAATTTAGATTAGAATCCTTAACTATTCAAAAAAAAAAAAACAACTTAAATAATGCTAATGATTCTTTTTTGCGAAACACCAATGCACTTGCTCTAAGTAATCTTCTCAATGTCCAATCTAAAGAGGATAAATAATTGTAAAGCAAGAAATTACTCTAAGTAATCTTCTCAATGTCCAATCTAAAGAGGATAAATAATTGTAAAGCAAGAAAGGAGCATGTTAACAAAAACTGTTTTAGAGTGATGTTTGGCACAAAATTGTTATCTATGTTAGTCCAGAAGGTATGGATACATTTGCAGAACATAGAAACGCTCAATGTAGAAAGAGAATATCACATGTCTTGATTGCCCGGGACTTTGGTTAGTTCACTTGGTTTATAGCATTATTAATCTGCAGTAGAAACCAATCTTGTTCCATTGATACATGAAGTGGGAGTAAAGACTCAATAAGAAAATGTTCAATTCTCTTGGTTACAACCTCTTTAGCAAGAAGTGAAATACAAAACGATAGTTAATAATAGAATGAGAGAGGTCAAAACTTTCATGCTTCTAAGCATCCCGTGCCTTCAACAAGGATGAAATCACTGGTGGTCTTATGTTGTAACGTTAGGAGACACTCTTTTAAAGGAGGAGAGTACAAAATAAATCCCGAGCATCATCCATTTTACAAGCCTTTGATGTTCAAGGCTAATAAGGTGGATGATGCTTGGGATTTATCTTATTATTACCTTACAAAAGAGTGAACAAACAGTAAAGACTGAGCTACAAACACATTATTGACAAAAAAAAAAAAAACAGAATCCATTTTTAGCCAGGCAACATCATGTGTACTCTACTCTCTCTCAAACGACTCGCAACATCCATTCATGAGATTATTATAAGTCACTTCGTTTCGGAAAGCAAGAGTTGATTACTAAACGTAGTGACTTATAATACTCTCATAAAACAAGCAAGCGATAGAGACAGTAGAGAAGATCTGCTGCATAATCAGTTGAGTGTTATTAAGATATTGTAAACATATTAATTTTATACGTCTCCTTCGAAGCCGGATCCGAATAGCCTGAGAACCGTTTACACCTGCAGTTATAAGATCAGAATATCATACTTCTGCATCGAGGTGAACTCAATATTATTAATCCAGATTTATTAAGAACAGTTATAAGATCTACCTTTTCCGATCAAGAAATAACTTTTGGTTGAGACCGATCCAGAGCTCTGTTTTGTGAGTGACGATGTAAGCGGCGTACGGCCTGCCCTAGAGATAAGGTCGTTAAGAGTGGAGGAGCGTTATTTATATATATATTAAAGATGAGGCGAGCACACCGGTTAAGCGACGAGTTAGATTTGTCAACCCGATTTAAATCAATTATAGGAAATGAACCGGTATGCCCTAAATACGGAAGAATTTTGTTTCACAATAACTTTCTTAATAATTTAAATAACAAGATTTCAAAATACATTTTTTAATGTTACTCACATATTTAAATATTTGTATAATTATTCAAAATACAATAATTCTATAGATTTTATGCTATAAATTCAAATTTCTTATTTTTGTAGATTTTTTCATTTTATTTAAATCCCTAAAAGGCAAGTACAAGCATACGATCAACGCTCCATTCCAATAATTATAAAACTGAATATGAAAATAAGCCCAAGAAAAACCTAAGATCAATATATTGCTTTTTCTTCCTCCTACCGTGTAATACTTTAGTTTGCCGCGCGTCAGACTACTAAAATAGTACACCACGCGTCAGCTAACACTTATGCATGTACTAAATCTGATTCACGCG